CCACAACGAACAAAACGCGGACTCATCAACGCTGTCGGATCAATTTTCAAGACGATAACAGGCAGCCTAGACGTTTCTAATGGAGTACGTTAATTAAAAATCTAACACGAAAATTTACTAGAATCAAAATAAAATCAGATTGGTCTGATTGTACAAAAAAGAAGATACTCATAGAATAGAAAAAATGCTAGGTAACTTTATTAAAGACACGCTGAATCGAATAATACATCTTCTGATCCTAGTATTATAAAAACTCAAAATCTCTATTCTGAGTTGCAAAAGATAGAAAACATCGTAGATGCAAAAGGCATATCTCTAAAGGTTACTTTAGCTAATACATTGCTTTACGAGAAATTAATTGAAGTAGAAAGTTTTATTTTAAATAACAAAATAACCTTTTTAATTAAAATTTCAGATACCTATCAGAGTGGTGCACGTGTGCTCTTTTTCAACTAAAAATGCATTCGGGCAAATTTCCCAAAAATTATTGATAATTTCCATTGCACTCGTTATATTACTATTGATAATTTTAGAACATATTTACCTCTTACCTGAAAAAGAAGCCTTCTCAATAATATTATATATATATTTTTTTAAAATAAACGATAGGTAAGTACCCTTTTTTTAAAAAACCAAAAAAATATAGTTTTCAATTAGTGCAAGGTAGAGGGATTTTAGCATTAAATTTAGTACAATAGTATAAAATTTAGTACAACTACTATTCAAATTAACTAGTACAACCAATGCTCCCGATTGCCTTGGATTTCTGCGGTCTGCAGTGTTGCCACGTAAGAAACCAATAAGTCGCTAATGATCGGATGAGAAGTCGCCACAGCATTTTTTATAGTTACTGTCAATTTCAAATAAAACAATTTTTTTTTTAGTTTGTTTGGCTTTGCACATGGTGGATACATCCACTACAATTAACTTAATATAATATTTATGTAAACTATGATGTATGTAATTGTAGTGTTTCCCCCATACTATTTTTGTAATGAAATTGATCATTTATATTATTTTAATAAAGACATTTATTTTATATCAGCTATCCTCTATCCTAAATAATGGTTCGGTTCGGTATCAAAGAAAGGTATAAAATTATTATATTGACTAGACCTTTTCCAGCAAGAAGGATGTGAGTGGTTAGTATTAAATTATAAACTCTGCAGACTTTATGTGAGCAAAAAATACTGTTTGTAATTATTGTAAATAAAATAAACATTGTCCATCATAAACACCCAAACCTTCCAAGTATCCCGAAGGACCATTCTTTGAGATATGTGGCCGACATTTATTGAGGGGTTTTTCTTAGATTGAGTAGGTAATAGATTTTATTTTCAACCACATATGTAATGTTGACATTGCAGGTTTTTCAAAATCTTGAAAGTGTCACATTTCTGGACTTTGACATTTATCGGGACGGTAATGCATATGCCTGCCTAGGACGGAAAAGCATTTTCCGTCCGGGACGGCAAATGCTTTTCCGTCCCCATTTCCCTGCTCGTTCCAAATTGATAATTTTCATACAGCTCTCACATATAATAATAAAACCACATGTATTACATGGAACTAATTAAATCTATTCACTTATTTACATTAATTGTTAAATTAGCATTGTTGTTTATAATGGAAATCTTGAGACCATCCTGTTGGAATTGTGTTTCGTTTGGAACTATTATCTCTTGCGCTTGCGGATGAGTTTCCGCATGTGATGTACTTGTGGATGCACTGGACAACTGAATACCTTTGGAAGTAGAGGATAGCATCAGAGCAGTCTTACTTTTGTTCTCCAAAGATGCCTCTATGTAGCCTTCAGCAACCGTGCTCGATTTCCACCCTCCCAGTCTTTTGAGTTGCAATAGATCGGCCCCGTTGTCAACCAATAAGGTTGCGGAAGTACGACGAAAAGCATGCCCTGTAAAAGTTTCAATTTTTGGAAGCTTCAAAAAAGCAGCTATTTTATGTGGAAATTTTGAGATTGAATGATAGCCAATTGCTTGGTTATGTAATTTCCCATTTCGCCATTGAACAAATAACCTGTCATTTTTCAAATTTTTCCGCAAAGTGAGGTATTTGTGGAAAATAGCAACCCAATCTGGATCGCTTATGATAAACGATCGACTTGTGTAAGTTTTTGTGTGTGGAATTTCTATAGCGATCTTTCCTTCCAAAACGTTGACGTGCTCCATTTTCATCTTGACTAGTTCATCGCTCCTACATGCACCCGACACACCAACAATTAGCGCTACCTGAAACCAGATAAAAATAAAATGGGTAACCTAGCTATAGCATACAGAAAATCATTTTGATTTTCGCATTTTTATCTTCTTTGTATATTTTTTGAAAACCTACCTTGATGCTAATGAATTCTTCAGCTGCCTTCGTGAGGAACTCGTTAATGTTTTCTCTGGAAAAAACGCTCGACTTTTTCGGCTGAAAGCCCAGATTTTGCCGCTTCAAAAAAGCTATAAGTTTTGCGTAATTGGAGATATCAACTTTCTCTTTCAATTTAATCATGGTTTTCAACATACTGTAAGTCGACCATAAAGTCGAAGGCTTCTTTTCCTTAGATAATTCGCCAAAATACGCCAACAAAACGGTCTCCGAGGCAGTATTTCTCGTTCCTTTCTGGCTACACCATGCTTCGAATATTTGAAAAGCCTTTTCGTACCGAAATTTGCTTTTTGCTGGAAGCAAACTCTCTCCAATCCTGTCTGCTGCTTCTTTTAATTCAGGTGGGGTACAATCCATCGCTTCATCTTCACTTTCCGAAATCATTTCTTTGGGGAGAACGGGGAGAAATCTAGTGAAAATCTATTATTTCCGCAAAAATACTGAGCGAAAACTACCGTCGTTAAGGCGTTGTTGATCTTATCTATGGTTGTTGATTTTGCGGTTTCCTGTGGTTTCGTCTTTTGTTTTGGCCTTTACAGGGCCTTTGAGATCGTCAAAATTGATGACATTGACAAAAAAAGTGAAATATTTTTTTCTAAGGCCAGTTTTACACTATATGAAAATTTCGTATAACAGAATCTTTAGTTTTTGCATCAGAAAATTAAGGGTTGAAAATAAAAAAGTATACAAACCTCGACGGAAAACTTCATTTCTGTCTCGAGGTTGAGTTTATCTCGACGCTTCGCGTCTCGATAAACTATAATAACCTCTCGACCAGCAATGAAGTATTTTCCGTCTCGGATTGTAATATACTATTATTTGCAATCATATATGTAATCTTGTCATTACTGTCTTTTTAAAAATTTGGAAGTGACACTTTATCTGTGTCACTTCCCTCTTCGATTTCCCTATTCGACTTCCCTCACCGATTTCCCTCACTCTAATTTATTTACCTTTGCTGGCAACAATGAGAACATGTCAGGTAAAAACGTCAAAGCAGTGAATGACACATTTTGGCATGTTTGTTTTATTTTTTTAATATTAAAAAAGTTGATTGACTAATCATAATTTATGGTGTGCTTGCAAATAAAATAGTATACAAGCCTCGGAGAAAAGTTTTCATTTCTGTCTCGAGATTAATAGTCAATCTATTATAGCAATAGATTTTTAGAAGGGATGTCGAAAGAGGATTTTGGGAAGATAGATCAGTCAAGACACAACTTTCAGTCAGAAGACAGCTTTGGTTACACAGATATTTTTGTAAGACTCTCTCCTCAACAACTGCGTATCATTCTATAATAAAAGTATTTTAAACAGAAGTTATACGGTATTGTTTTATTACGGTCGGTATTGTGATCACTACATAGGTGGGATCATAACATTGGTGGCAGCGGAAACTAGAAGCGTCGCATCATAGGCTTTGGAAACAGAATTGTTCCGAGAAACTGATGGCGAACTGCAAGTAAGTAGAACCTTCTAATCTGTGTTACTTTCTCCACTGATTTTTTTTTTGTTTGTTATTTTATTGTTTTTTTGAAAAAGGTACATTGAGGTTTAATTTTTTTTTATTTGTTTCTTTTTTGTAATTTTTGTTGGTATTTTCTTTTTGTGAATTAAAATGTCTAAAGAACCTAATAGAATTACTTAATATGATGCCAGTGTTTGAGGGAGGAAAAGAGGGGAGTAAGTTAAATGTTTTTTTGTCCAAATGCGAATTAGTTATTTCTTCAATAGACTCGACTTTCAAAGACATATTAGAACCTAAACTTTTAAAAGCAATCTGGAAAATGAAACTGGAGGGTTCTGCTTTCGAAAAAACGAGGAATTTTTCATTTGATAATTGGGAGGAATTAAAAACGTAGTTAAACACTATTTTCAACGAAACAAAGAATTTTATCCAATGGAGTATTGAGTTAATGAGTTGCAAACAATATTATAACGAAACAGTTATCGAATATGGAACTAGGCTTAAAAATATTTTTGAAAATTACGTGAAATCATGCAATCATCTAAATAATTTAAGCGAGCAAAGAAGAAGAGATAACATTCAAATATTTGAAAAGACTTTACCGTCAATTTTTTGTCAAGGTTTCATTAATGCCATAATGAGAGCCTCTCTCACTTTAAATGATTCTTTTAATATCGATCAAATTATAAAAAAAAAGCAGTCGAAATAGAAGCGTCGGTATTCCCTAGTTCGCATCAAGGAAAAATAAATTTAATTGATACATATTGTAAAAAAACTAACCATTCAACAGAAAATTGCCGTTTCAACCAAAACCGAAGAGCATTTCAAAAACATAACTATCAAGAATGTTTTTGTAGTTTCTGCGGAAAAAATAATCATTTATCAGATAATTGTTTGAACAGAAACAATTCACATTTTGCTAAGAATTATAACGATTATAAAACATTTGAACGTGGAACTTTTCAAAATCATAACTTTTATCAAAGGCACCAACAAGAACGGTATTTCCAAGACAGTCCGCAAACTAACAGTTTTGAAAATATTCAAAAAAATCGGTTTCCTCAAAGCTATGATTTTAATACAAATTTTTATCACAATACTTATCAAAGTTATAACCAGAATAGGCAAAACTTTCCAGAAAATAATCTCGACGAACAAAATCGCAAACAACAACATAGCCTTTTACCAGCAAATAACCCCAATAATCGCAAGCAGCAAGTCTATAAAGAACCATCTACCTCAAAACAACATCATCAATTAATATTAATTAACCAAGAAAGTCAAGGTATAACACGAAATTTTGAGGAAAAGAGTGTTTCAATTAAAAGTTCAAGGAATCATAAGAAAAACTTAAAAAATGAGAACGAAAGCAAAAGTTTTACAGAAAGAAAACCAGTAAATAATGAAAATCCCAAAATTGAGAATATATTTTTATACAAAGAAGAAATTAGTTTAAATTTAGGTAACGAAGACGAAAGAAATTTGAAAGAAAATAAAAATAATTTAATAGAAAGACCAACTAAATTAGAAAGCAAAATATTAGAAAACAATATTGAAACTTATAAGAAAATGACAGCAAATGAAGAGAGTTTAACAAATAATGAACAAGAAGAAAGGGAAAATGAGAATTTTAAAGCCAAAACTGATGATCTGACAAAAGAAATAAAATCAAAACAGAAAGTTTTTGATGAAAGTTTAAGAAATAATAAAAATAACTTTAAAAAGCTTCAAGAAACTCATGAAAAAAAAGTGAATAAGGCTAAAGAAAAAGCTGACAAGTTTAAAGAGAAAATAGCAAGAGAACACAGTAAAAATAACGAACTTGAAGTCAAAATTAAAAAGCTAAAAGAAGAACTATATTATTCTAATAAAAGCCTAAAAAGTACTGAAAATAATTTTAAAAAACTTCAAGTAAATTTTGAGACAAAACTCAATGAACTGTTGAAATGTGCAAAAAAGAAGCTAAAAATACAAAAGCAACAAGAAAAAATTAAAATAAATTTAAAGAGAAGAATCACGAAATAGCTGAATTAGATAAAGAAGTTAAACAGCAAAACAGAGAAATAAAATTTAAACAAAAATTTGTTGATAAAACAGAAAATGCAAATATATACTTGAAGAAACAATATGAAGGAAAACTCAATGAAGTTGAAATTGATGCTGAAACAATGAGAAAACACTTGAAAGAGCACTTAAAAGCAAAATATCTAAAATTAAGAAGCATAAAAAACTTTGAAAGTCAAATAAGCAAACTTGAAAATGCGATTTCTAACAAACTAAAACAAGAAAACCATAAGCAAACTGAAAATTTATCTGAACAAGCTAATGGGAAAATGAAAAAGAATTCTGCACTAAACTTAGATTTGCAAGAATACGAAAAGATTTTCAAAGAATTGACGCAAAAAGTCGAAAAACAAATTGGCTACTTGCAAACGCAAGACATGCAAAAAAGGGAACTAAATGCTCTAGGAAAGCAAAATTTAACTCTAGAACGCATAGAAGTACAAAAGATTGGAATCCGTAGCAAATATATTTTAATGAAACCATTTTCTAAATTCCTATTAGTTTATGAAAATAGGCAGCAATATAATTTGTAAATCAGCGAAAACTCAATTCCGCAAAAATTCATGTGAACAAAAGCAACCCATCTGGCTCTAATACGTTCATCCAAATTGCGAAATCTTTTTATATTACCAATCATTCAATTTAATTTCTAAAATTATAGAAAAAAAAAAACTCATTAATTTAGACCAAATTTCATTTAACTAGCTAATTCAGAAAAAAAAAATCTTATAATTTAATGTCATCCCCAAAAAGGAAATTCTAATTTTAGGTTGTAAAAAACCCTAATGTACCTGTTGATATCATTTTGAAAGACTCAGGTAAAATTAGAGTTAGTGGAGATTGTAAAGGTTTTAGTGGTTCTGCTTTACTTTCTACCGAGGATAATGTGGCACCATTGGTCACTGAGTAGCATCTGGCGTTTAAATATCAGCTACAGATGTTGAAATGAAACTGTATGACAAGAGGGCCGTAACTTCAAATTTCACTCCACTTCACTCAAGTACCAACACCTTACGTCATATTTAGTAGCTGCAGAAGCAGAGAGAAGCAAAGCAGATACGAGCCTATGCATAAATCGGCCTCTTGTTTAGCCTATATACTCGCCGTGTTTTTATGCTTTATATTTATTTCAAAATCTACAACAGTTGCATAAACAAGGCAAACTATCCGCTTTCGATATAAATCCGAAGCAACCAGAAAGCAGTCACCACACCATTACAACTGACATATTGGAAAAAAGTGTCAAAGGAACAGCAGAACCCTTTCGATGTCACTCAGGAGCAACATCTTCCTGACTCAATTTTAGAAGCTCAAGAAAATGTGGTTCGTCATATTTTTTCAATTTGAACTTTTAGGCAGGCCGCACATCAAAGAAACGTGAAACGTGAAACATCAAACATGAAACGTAAAACATGAAACAATAAATTACGAAAAGCGAAACCGTTTCTTTCTTGCATACTAATTGAAGAAACAAAAATAATGTTTGCAAAGTCTTTTGATAGTGTAGTAGTGGAGTATGGAGGGTAGCACACAAAGGAAAGTGTTGACGAGCAACAAGAACTGCTGTTGTGGCAACGTTTCTATTATCATCAAAAAGTCAAAAAAATAAAGGAAACGACGATACTGGGTACATTCATACAATAATGTACTTTTTACCTATCAGGCAACATTTTGGCAGGCTTTTTTTGGTGATTGTCTATTCGAGTACTTCTCCATGTTATACTTATACAATTCTCGATCTTGCTCTACCACTGAAACTAGCACAATATTGAATTCTTAGTCGTAATTAATTTTTTTATGAATGTATTTATTCCCAAAAACCGTGAAACTGAAACAGAAAAATAGAACACGATCTATTTCATGAACCGGGTTTATGTAATAAAAATGTTTCTTATTGCGCATGAAACAAATTCGTTTCATTGGTGGGCGGACTTGTATTTGTTTGTTCTTGTTCTATTTTCATGAAACGAGTTTCACGCTTTATGTTTCATGTTTCACGTTCCATGTTTCTTTGATGTGCGGCCTCCCTTAAATTTTAAATAGGTACATATTTTAAAAATTTTTATTAATACAAATTTTTCAATTAATTAAATTCAAATTTACTGTTTATTATTCGAGAATTTTGAAATTTTCTATTTTATCCACTAAATTCGATCAATTCTAGTTTTGTTCTACTCAACTGTTATATACTTTGACATTACGATTTACAAAATTGCCAATTGCAAAACTATTTTTGACGTGGTCTAGGTCTATCCAAAACTGTTTGATCGCTACTTTATATTCAGGATTTTTTTAATTTAAGTTCTATTTAATTGTACTTTTACTTCAATTCAACTTTCAGAAAATTCTCTTTTTGTATTTAAAGTTCTCGTAAATTAATGGACCATTTTTCGGGTCATTACACTAGTAGATAATCAAAGCGGGTGTGACTACCAAAATCCGAACATAACCTCAATCTTTCATTCTTGACACATGGTGGATGCGCCGTCGTTGACACGAAGATCGATGCATCGTCGGCGCCATCTTGTCAAACGTCATGGCGCCATCTAGCGTACATAGTGTGAAGTTCGTACTACAGGATGCTGTAGTTAGGGGACCACAGGACTCCGCCCCCCCCAAAAAGGGGGCCCTCAGGGCTCCGCTCCCCAAAAAGGAGGCCCGCAGGGCTCCGCCTTCCAGAGGGGGCCCGCAGGGCTGCGCCCCCAAAAAGGGGCCCCCGGATTTTATCATGGGTACCAGAAAAAGGGGAGGGGGGAAATGTTTTCCCGCCATCATGTCAACCGTCACCTGTCAAACGTCATCTGTCAAACGTCATTTGTCAAACGTCACCTGTCAAACGTCATCTGTCAAACGTCATTACGTCATAGCGGGAGTTTTGAGTCGTTTCGGGTTCTGTGATGACGTCATGCCGGGTTATTGCGGTGAATTCTTGCAATTGATCGACAGGAAGGGTTCAAAATTACAGGTACCTGTAATATGGAGTTTGCGTGGAAGGGATTGTTCCGAGTCGTTTCGAAACTACGTATAGTTAATTATGGTTCGGGTTCTGTGATGACGTCATAGGGGCCTGGGTCACGTCCATTTTTGCATCAAACGCCTATCATTGCGTAAATGGAGTACACGCGTTATATAATTTTTTACTTATATGGTCACGTCAGTGTGTGTCGGTGGCGCCATCTGGCGTACGTAGTGCGACGTGTCCTAATACAGGATGCCGTAGTGGTAAATAAAGAAAATTCGTGAAGCTCAAGGTTGCAGACCATCGAGTCGACGTTTAATGTCGGAGCGTTATAAACAAAGGTATCATATTTCACAGTTTATTTTACTGATAAGCATTTCCGTTCTAGCGACAATAACAAGCTGGGACTTGCATCTAATATTTTGTTGATTAAAAAAGGATATTTTCACTGCAGATTAACTATGGGAAATTTAATGAATTAAATGAGTCACACTTGTTTTTTAAAATTAAAACCTATTTATTTATTAAACCATAGGGTACATTGACTTTTTCCAATATGGTACGTTAAATTCAATAATAATATTACGCAGCAAATGGCAATAAATATGACTACATTTAAAGTGGATTTCGGTGCGATGTCGTCGTCTGATAAAGTCCTATGGGAATTATTGTATGTTTCTTCTTGCTATTGTGGTTCTCTGATGAGAGTTCTCCATTCGGTATCTCCAACAGTTTCATCATGAAAATGCAGCCTCACCTTGTAACGCAGGTACGCCAATGTCGTTGACGATGGTATACGAGTCGTGAAAACAGCTAAATGGCCCTTATCTATTACTTCATAATGCATTTCTGTCCAAGATGTTGTATTGTTAGGTGCGGAAAAGTCCAGCATTATTGACATTTTGTGGACATTGTACGGTCTGTGTACATAGAAACTATTTTGCACAAGGGCAACCAAGAGAACATAGTACGATTGACTTGACACCATCATGGTTAGAAATTGAATGAATTTAAGATTCATTTACACATCCTTAATAAATTGGCGCAATGGGTAATTTACTGCAAACGATTTTTTTCACTTTATTTTAATAGAAACATCATACAAATTAGTCAACTTCATCGTAACACCTATATATTTTGCAATAATATCATCACACATGTATTTAGCGCCATACTGTTTTAATTACTGATGTAGTCCGTATTGATTCATAAGCACACATAGGTCCTCCAAAGAGATGGAATTAGCCAGATACAGATTACAAGACGACACCATTTTCATATTTTTCCACATCTTGCGTGGAAAACCAACCATTAGTGTCGGGTTCTTGCTCAAGTGCTTGAAGTAAAAAGTACATGTCTGTTTCTAAACTAGTACGTAGCAAATAGACTGCTTGTCTTATACAGGAAGATTGATGATGGCAGCAGGCGTCACCACCACCAGTAATACTACAACCGGACATTGTGACTCTTCAAAGGTTGCTATTGTAGTGTGAAAAATGAAAAACAAGCATGTTTTTTATAGTCATTTATTAATATCTACTAATACTAATTGGATTGGAGGGTGGTACAACACGCGTCCAGCTTATCTAAATCCCTGACAATTTTGCCTAGGTTCATAGTAGCAAGTTCTAGAAAGTAGCAGCTACGTTCACATTTGTTCAAGTTACACATGCTGATAATTGATTGCAAAAGATGGCTGCCGTTTTTGACATTGTGAGTTACATTCTGATATTGTAGGCAATCGTCATAGTATACAATGAAATTCAAATCCTTGACTAATTCTAATCTATAATTTATGAGAGGACAAACAGTTAAAATTTGTTTGATGTCGTCCAAGCAAAAACACAATGCACAATTATTCGACGTAAGAGCTTGTTCACCGAAAAACGATTCGACATACAGAGTGAAATTCCCGGATAACGCCTGTTGTTGGCCAGGCACAGCAGAGTCTTTGACGCCAGCAGCAATTTCTTTCACCATCTTGAATACCTTTTCCATAAATTCATACCAGTCGAAATCGGCTAGAGTTATGCAAGTTTGATCTTCGGGCAAGTTTAGCATGGAGTTTACTATTTTGACTGCTGGCAGCATTCCTCGAGCGACGCTTAGGCCCACAATCAACTTGAAATTGTTCACCTGGTAGCTAACTTCGTTGAGTAAAAGTTTCTCTTGAGCAATTTCCATTCGACTTTTCAAAATCATACTGTCCAAATATTTCCAATAATTTGACGAACACTGCGAATCGTCGCTGTCTTCGGCACTGATATCTGCGTACATTGCGTGATTCGATGCATAGGACATTTCACGATGACACCGCGACTACGTTCAAATACTGAGACACAAATGTGGTCCTTTGAGGTTTATAATAACTTTTACGGCCCCCACCACCACCACTCCGTCGAACATGTCTTAGACCAATTACATGCGAGTATTAAATGGCATCTTTATTCATGTCAATCCAGCTGTTGTGTGATTTAT